ACCACGAACAGCTTATTATTTTAAAGATCAGTTTCTATTATGAATTTTGACTATAAGTTTAAACTACTGGCCCTCTAAACGATCTTAGAACTGAAGCGTAATTAAACCAAAAAAGACAGGACCGACTGGGCTGAAAATAGGTCGAGCCAGACCGAACCGGACTGTTAACATCCCTATCCATCACACTTATCTAATCAAACTGTCGTTCAATTTTAACTGTCATTGAACAAACGTGTTAATCGCAATTGACGTTTGGTGTAGATCTTGCAGATCGAGGCTTGGTACAGATCTACGATTTCATTATTTCCGTGGGGCCTTTACGCATATGTTCAAGTGGGTCATCGTTCGATTATCAGGCCCGGGCATTGTTGCACGACGATTGCTGGCGTTACGATCGTTTGGCGAAGGTCTTGGAGTCACGGGTAGCCAGTAACAGTAAGTATGTGCGCAATCAGCCGATTATCAGTGTGGCAGTGCACTTAAAATTTCTAGAATGATTTTTTATAATCACTATTCCTCAATGAATGCGTAAGCACAACTTATAAAAGAAGATACGCAACTTTATAGATCCATACTGTAACTATCAAGTAACGAATTTTTTTACAAATTTGCACTTATTCGTTGAGTAGTGATTTTGGATATCTTTAGAGTGCTTGCACCATAAACCCGAATATTCTACTACTAAAATGTTTATACTTATCTAAGATCAAATAGTTAACAATAAGATTTATTTGAACATAGTGGGATAAAGCAGTCTTATACAAGCATTCCTAGTAACCTTTAATTTACTACACAATTCTACATCATTCAATAGATGACAGTACATTTTAGCTACTAACTATGTCACGAAGCGGCAGGTTATAACGATAAAAATGTGCTAAATAAGTTACCAGGCACTTATGATAATACATTATCGTTATCATTATGCCATTTTATCTAAAAGGAAATGTGGAGGATCACGATTATCGAAGAAACCAATTGAAATACAAAACATGACCAAAAAAGCAAAGATCAGGGTCTATCGACATAAAATTTTATATAGGGTAAACAAGAATGTAAATTATTGTGTCATGAAAATCATTCGATTACTATATCAATCTCATAGGAGGCCCGGGTAACTTATTTATATACTTTAAAGTACTTTTTAAGAATTTAACGTTTCACTACGTAATACAAAATCAACATAGATATCATTATTAACGCTAGAGAGGTGTTAACGTTTATTATACAAAAGAATCCCAAAAAGATCCCAAAACTGAGGCACTTTTCCTTGAAGACAAAATATACGGCCGTTTATTGGACAACATAAGACTATATTATATTTTAAAGGTACTGTAAACGTTTTTACCAGACTGCTGCTTTACGACGTTAGATCTAGTGAACTTTCAGTACTAACTGCTTAATTTGAATAGGTATAAACTCTTTAATAGTGACAGAACTGGGTTTAATATTTGAATTTGTAGCATATTTGGGTTTAACATTATAAATTAAGCTTCGGCTTATAGATTGTAGATTGTATAATAAGTTCGGTTTAAACGCAATAAATACTGCTTTTATCACACTTTTACATGTTTATATTTATTTTCTAAATATATTTGATAAATGCTTCGTGTGTTATTTATCAATTTGTAAGCCTCTTTATAATAAAGTTTTTTAGTTCTTGGTAATTGCATTAATAACGATAAATTCTTCTAACATTATGTAATTTGATTTGTTAATTATCACGGGTGATCACAGGTAGATCCATAAAAAATTAGCCAACCAGACGATTTTCCTTTAATGATATCCCAATCAAAATAAAGATTTTGCGGACGAACACAAGCCTCGAATTAAACCATACACCACGTTTCTAGTACAGTCAGACCCCCTAAATGCACTCTCCCTAAATGCACGCCCTATGAAAAGCCCATAACTACACGCCTTCACTTGGGCCCAACTAATATAATACTTATAGATTAAAAAAATTATTGAATTTGATTAGGTAGTTACCAAAATATTATTACTCAAAATTTTTTTTTGAAAATATTAAAATATTTATCAAAAATTTAAGTTATGTTAAATTTTTTCTAAAGCTTTGAGCAAAAATATCAACAACTATTTGATCAAATTTAATAAAAATTTTTTATTTAAATTCTATTGGTCTATAAAATTCAAATAAAAATATTCACCAAATTTGATCAGTTGGTTGCAGAAATATCTTTACTCAAAGTTTTTTTAAAAAAAATCAAAAAAAAAACAAATTTATCTATAATACAAGAGTAAAAAATGTAGTTATTCTATAAGTTCTTATATAATAACACTTAGTAGATGCCTTAAACCTGCATAAAATTAAAATTTTGTCTTACCCTTCTATTAAGAATTATTATTTTATAGCTTCCTATTAACAACTAACTAATCATTATTTTTTCTCTTGTTTATAGTAGTTTGTTTTGTCTATTTGCTTACTAACTCTATAAAATTTAAATAAAAAATTTTTATTAAATTTGATTAGATAGTTATTGAAATATCTTGCTTAAAGTTTTAAAAATTTTTTTTATTTTGATATGATAAAAAATTCTTGATATACATCTTGATAACTTTTAAAAAATATATTAAAATTTTGCTCTATAAAATTTTGGCTCAAAAAACAAAAATTTTGATGTAATTTCTATGTTTTGGGCTTAAATATTTAAGAATTTTTATTAACTTTATTTTTATAAAAAAAATTATACATGGTAAGCATTAGCATTGGTAAATATGGTGCAGATCTGCAAAGATCTGCTACTCTAGAAAAAATAACAAATTTTACAATATCTCATGATCTAGTGATCAAAACTTAACAATTTTAACACCATTTGATCATCTTAATAAGACAGATCAAATGGTACTAAAATTATTGGGTTTCAATTACTAGATTACAAGATAATTGAATTTAAGTAGTTTTGTAAACACCTATATAACTCACTAACCAGTAGTCCAAATTTAATGATTTTGGTATTATTTGATTTCTCTCAATAAGATAGTTTGAATAATATCAAAAATGCTAAAATTAAATTACTAATTAGCAAAATATTTACAAAAAACATTTCGCAGTGCAGTTTTGCACAGAACTTTAAATTCATTTTTTTAATTTCTGCACAAAACTGTACTGTAAAATGTTTTTTGCAAATATTTTGCTAACCAGTAATCCGATTTTAGCTTTTTGATACCATTCGAACTGTCTTATTAAGGGAATCAAATAGTATCAAAATCATTAAATTTGAACTACTAGTTGGCGAGTTATATAGGTATTTACAAAAATTACTCAAATGCAATTATCTTATGATCCAGTGATTGAAACTCAATGATTTTAGTACTATTTAATCTGTCTCATTAAGATGATTGAATAGTGCTAAAATTGTTGAATTTTAATTACTAGATCATGAGATGTTGTAAAATTTGTCATTTTTTTCAGAGTAGCAGATCTTTTCAAACCTGCACCATATTTATTTTCCTGATATATTTGCTAAGAGCAATTTGTTCTCTTATTTATAACAAAATTACAAGACAAGAAAAAACAAGATCAAACATTTCTCTTATCTTTATTATTAAGCTAAACTCAAGCCATATGACTCTTTCTAGTCTAATACCCAACTCTTACATATATTAAAACATTCTATAGAAGGAAAGAGAAGGTAAAAAGAAGGCATGACTTCTTTACTATCATCTTTCTTTATTTATTGATTTATCCATTCATTTATTAACTCATCTATTGACTCATGTGCTTTTCTTTTTTCTATAGCCACATATTTTATCTAACAAGGTAATATTACCTTGACAGCTATTATACCCAACAGGTAAGTACTTTTTCTTCAATAGGATCATTTGATGAGGCTTTGTTTTTACAAGATTAATGTTTAATACTTCAAATGAGTTTCTGGCTTCAACAGGTTTTACTTCTAAATAATCATCATTTGAAAATTGTGGGTCCTAAGCATTGCAATATAATAATCTTTTGCATAATAATTCATAGATCAATTATGCATCATTCTGCATAAGTCTTGCATTTGGGAGCACATGATTTTGCCAGTAACAATAAATACATAGAATTCAAATAAAAAATATTTATCAAATTTGATCAGGTGATGCTAAGATATCTATACTCAAAATTTTTAAAAATAGCAAAAGGTTTATTAAATAGAAGCTGTATCAAATCTTTTTTAAAACTTTGAGCGAAGTGAAGATATCTTAGCAACACCTGATCAAATTTGATGAATTTTTATTTATTTGGATTCTATGGATATATAGAATTCAAATACAAAAATTTTCATTGAATTTGATTAGATGATTACTGAGATATTTTCGTTTGGAATTTTAGAAAAATTTGGCGCAGCTTCTATTTTGACATGATGAAAATTCATGATACCGCGCTGATTTTGAAAAGTTTGGTCAGAAATAATTACTGCATAATAACAAGACTTTTAGAAAATATGTTAAAGTTTTGCAATATAAAATTTACGCTCACATAAACGAGAACTCATAAAGTTACTACATTTTTCACTCTTGTATTATAGACGAATTTGATTTTTTGGGGATTTTTTTTTTAAAAAAACATTGGACAAAGATATTTCAGCAACTACCTAATCAAATTCGATGAATTTTTTTATTTGAATTCTATAGATTTCTAAAATTCAAATAAAAAAAAATTCATCGAATTTGATTAGATAGTTGCTGAGAAATCACATACAATCACGTACAATCAATTGCAATCGTACAATCGGGCATGCGATCTACAAATTTTATCAAATGTCGCATCAATTTGTAAACCGCGATAATATGCGAATCCAAATTTTTACATTTTGCAAAATTATACCGATAGTAAAACAATATGATATTTACAAATATGTGTAAATTTCAAAGCAACAGAAATTGAAACTTTTTCTAAAAATTTTTTGCAATTATTTATTTATTAAAAATAAATTGGTTTAGGTTTTTTTTAAAATCAATAACTTCATTATTGTTTTCGCTCCATATTAATTCTCTTATGCTTTGCCCTGACCAATTTTTTTAATTCTTTCACAAACATTGGCTAATTTCTCATCAAAACCATCTTCATTAACAATTTCATTAAATATTTTGAGTAAAATTCTTGAATTGGCTTTAATATTTTGATGTTCATCAATCACAATAATATCATCATGATCCATCATCTCTATCCATTTTGGATTTCCAGTAATTTCTCTGCCCTTGTTTACTGGGACAGTATTATTTGGAGATTTTACAATTGCGCGAATTAATTTCCATGCATATGCAGCATATTTTTGATTATCGAAAGCACTTTCTTCAAAATCAGGAATCAGGCCTATTTGATTAATTATCCAAATTCTTTCTTCATTTTCTAGTCTTTTAGCAGTTGCTAATAGAAGTAAAAATATAAGAAATGTAAAAATGAATTAACAATATATACACGCATAAAGTATAATAGTAGATTATAATAAAATGATATTTTACCATAAATGTCAGGTTCTTTGGCTAATTTCTCGAGATACGACTTACGACCGCCAATTTGTTCAACAATTTCTTTCAATACGACCTCAGTTTCTGGTCGGTTTGTTTTTAATAAGCTTATCGCTTCTTCAAGTTCTAAGTCTCTTATCATTTCAACCTCCATTTTAGAAGCATCTCTCTCTGTGTCATAAATTAAATGTGAAAAAATAAGTATATTATATAAAATAAGAAATTATATACATATAATAAATATTTACTCATGCGTTCGTATATTGAATAATCATTGGTATTAAATACCATTGTCACAATTTCAGTAGCTGCCCAAGATTCAGCACGTTGTTGTAATAATTCTAACAGGCCTTCATTTTTAAATGCATGAATATTATTTATAATAAGAACTAATGGGCGACGATGTTTTTTGTGATATTTTATGGCAACAGCTTCTATCACATTTAAAGCCTTTTCAACATCAAGTAAAGCAGAACCTAAGATAGTCATAATGATAAATAATTATGTACATTATTAAGTTAAATAAAACTATATAAAATTATAAAATTTCAAAGGTTACCTCGTTCAGGAGCTTCTATAGCAAAAAGCTGACCAATATAATCTTGTCTATAAGTATATTTTAGAGCTTTGCCTAATCTAACTTTAAAAATTTCACAATCCGAATGAGCTTCGGCAAATACAACACCATGTTGATTTATTTTTTGCATTGCATTCAAAATTAACTGTGTTTTTCCGGTTCCTCGTTCACCTACAAGTAAAAGGTATTTTCCAGGAGCGTGCCCTTCTACGGCTTTTTGAATTTTTTCTAAAAGATCTTCTCTTTTAAGGAATTCTCTAATTCTGCGGTTTAATGACGGATCAGGTTTTTTGAACGCTAGTTCTACTTTATGAATTTCGTTCCATTCATACCTGAATAAATTTGAATTTGGTTTTTGTTTTTGATTTTTAATTAAATTGAAATTTAAAACAGTTTTTCACTACTTACCATGCATTATAAACTACACCACCAAGGCCAATAGCTGCTAATCCTATTATGGTTGTCAATGCACTATCCACGATTTTAAAAAATATACTTGATTGTTTCTTCTTTTCACCACCATCAGCAGGAGACGCTTTTTTCAGTTTCTGATAATTACCATCCTTTAATGCTGTCTCAGCGGATTTTTCTACAATAACATTCACATAAAAAATATTCATATAAAGTTTAGAATTTTTGAATTAATGTTTAATTTGTTTTGCCAGGAAAGGGATAATAAACACCTGCAGCATTAGCATCTTTATTTAAACTTCTTTTTAGAACCATATGAGATTGTTTAGAAAAATCAATCTTAATCTTTGGATTACGATATACCAATTTGAATGAATCTAAATTATTACCGCTATACAAGCGAACGTTAACATTCTGTATAAATACAGCATTATAAAGATGTAATTTCAATTTTTTAACTGAATTAATTCGATTAATTCGATACATTATAAAAATTAAGTTTGCAAAATTTAGAACAGAGCTTATATTTATTAAATTTTCATAATTAATTTTTGTAATATTGTATATTTGAATATCATAATAATTATGAAACATTCATAATTTATATCGATATGATACGTATTCATAAATAATTATGAATATTCATAACTGAATTTATTTAGCATTCGGAGAGATGGTCTGCTCCATGCATAATCAAATAGCACATTGAAATCAAATCTTTCTTAAATTATCAACTTCCATAAAGTTGAATCAAATATTTCTTAAATTATCGATTTCAATCAAGTATTTATGTACGCACTTTATTGATGCTAACAATTTAGGAAATACCTTGTTTATACGTACTTGTCTATATAAGGAGATTGTGGTTTTTATTTAGAATGAAATTCAGTCGACTCATTTGAGATAAGCTAAATTTGTCATTCTCAATAGCAGCAGTATATGCATCGAATAATTGCAATTTAGTACACATTATTCTTGATGAATATTATTTTATGCGAAAATATTGGGAAATTTTGATTCTTCACTTTATTGAGATTAATAATTTAAGAAATTTGTTTCCGTGAGCTACCGTTTATATGATAATTTAAGAAATTTAT